CAATCAATCAATCAGATTCCAAACTCTCCACCATGGCCAACACCAAATACCTCTCCAAGGATGTCAGGGACAAGATTGTAGACCTACACAAGGCTGGAATGGGCTACAAGACCATCGCCAAGCAGCTTGGTGAGAAGGTGACAACAGTTGGTGCGATTATTCGCAAATGGAAGAAACACAAAAGACCTGTCAATCTCCCTCGGCCTGGGGCTCCATGCAAGATCTCACCTCGTGGAGTTGCAATGATCATGAGAACGGTGAGGAATCAGCCCAGAACTACACGGGAGGATCTTGTCAATGATCTCAAGGCAGCTGGGTCCATAGTCACCAAGAAAACAATTACTACGCCGTGAAGGACTGAAATCCTGCAGTGCCCGCAAGGTCCCCCTGCTCAAGAAAGCACATATACAGGGCCGTCTGAAGTTTGCCAATGAACATCTGAGTGATTCAGAGGAGAACTGGGTGAAAGTGTTGTGGTCAGATGAGACCAAAATGGAGCTCTATGGCATCACCTCAACTCGCCGTGTTTGGAGGAGGAGGAATGCTGCCTATGACCCCAAGAACACCATCCCCACCGTCAAACATGGAGGTGGAAACATTATGCTTTGGGGGTGTTTTTCTGCTAAGGGGACAGGACAACTTCACTGCATCAAAGGGACGATGGACGGGGCCATGTACCGTCAAATCTTGTGTGAGAACCTCCTTCCCTCAGCCAGGGCATTGAAATGGGTCGTGGATGGGTATTCCAGCATGACAATGACCCAAAACACACGGCCAAGACAACAAAGGAGTGGCTCAAGAAGAAGCGCATTAAGGTCCTGGAGTGGCCTAGCCAGTCTCCAGACCTTAATCCCATAGAAAATCTGTGGAGGGAGCTGAAGGTTCGAGTTGCCAAATGTCAGCCTCGAAACCTTAATGACTTGGAGAAGATCTGCAAAGAGGAGTGGGACAAAATCCCTCCTGAGATGTGTGCAAACCTGGTGGCCAACTACAAGAAACGTCTGACCTCTGTGATCGCCAACAAGGGTTTTGCCACCAAGTCTGGTAAATGACTAAAATGTAAATGTAAATGTAAGTACTAAGTCATGTTTTGCAGAGGGGTCAAATACTTATTTCCCTCATTAAAATGCAAATCAATTTATAAAATTTTTTACATGCGTTTTCTGGATTTTGTTGTTGTTATTCTGTCTCTCACTGTTCAAATAAACCTACCATTAAAATTATAGACTGATCATTTCTTTGTCAGTGGGAAAACGTACAAAATCAGCAGGGGATCAAATACTTTTTCCCCTCACTGTAGCTTGGACAGGTATTTGGACAATCTGTGGACAGAATAGGACAAATTTAGCAAAATGAAAAACATATTTAAAATGCCTAACAGACAATGACTTTTGACTTTGACCACTACTTATGACAGGAACTAAATCTTGAGTCAGTGGAGTTTAGAACAGGTTTTATGGCTTTAAAAGAACTTAGCATACCAACATACAACCAAGCCTCTAACACGGAATGTTGCGTTTGTGTTTGATCATTATGTAAACAGTTAAGTACCCTAGCATGATAAGGCCTGGATGGGGAATCTTATCTGGTCCCACCTAATCAGTGGAGTAATGTTTTTTATGGTTTTCAGTCTGGCAGACACCCAGTAAGCAAAATGACATTGAAAATACGTATTTTCCAGACGTTTTGTGCCAGGTGCACTTTAGGTTCTGAATGAAAGGTGAAAATACGTATTTTCCGGACGTTGAAATCAGGTGCATTTTAGGTGCTGAATTAAAAGGTGAAAATACATATTTTCCGAACATCAAAAACAATTTTTTTGGAAATATGTAATTTACAGACGTTGAGAATTCATATTTTTAAGCATTCTGTCACAATATTAATTTTTCAAACCTCTTAATATAGGAAAGAGAAGCCAACTGAAGATTACAACAGAATATTTCTTATTGCTCCTATCTGTCAATAAAGCGATAATGTTCAAAGTAGTCCAATTAAGAGCATAAACCAATAGACCACTTCAACTACAATAACATTCTCAGTAACGGTTACAGATATTGTTTTTGCTAGGACTGTGATATGTTGTTGTTTATCTACCTTAGTTGAATACATTGATGGTAAGTCACTCTGGATAATAGCATCTGCTGAATTACCAAAATGTAAATGTCAAAACAACACTTGCAAAGCATGCTGGGTATTATTCAAATTCTAACCCCCAACCAAGTACACATTTGGTCACTGCGGACCAGATCCAAATCTGAATGAATCATTGATGTCTAGACTATGTTCCACAGGTTTGGACACCACATTATAGTACGGCACAGTTTAGGACAGTAGAGCACAGTAGAGCACTGTAAAGTACGGTAAGGTACAGGACAGTCAAGTTTTATTCAGTAGAATAGAGTACAGTAGAGTGCAGTACAGTATGGTACAGTACAGTAGAGTTGAATTCAGTAGAGTACAGTTGAATTCAGTAGAGTACAGTATGGTACAGTTTGGTTCAGTAGAGTAGAGTACATTAGAGTAAAGTAGGGTACAATATAGTACACTATACTTTACTTTTATTTACTGTACTCTACTGTGCTGTACTGTATTGTACTGTACTCTATTGTGCTGTACTGTGCTGTCCAAACATATGAACAATAGATGTCTATGAAGGCCTCCTGTAGCTCAGTTGGTAGAGCATGGCGCTTGCAACGTCAGGGTTGTGGGTTCGATTCCCACGGGGGGCCAGTATGAAAAATGTATGCACTCACTAACTGTAAGTCGCTCTGGATAAGAGCGTCTGCTAAATGACTAAAATGTCAAATGTAAATATATGATTGGTTCAGATTTGGTCTGGGCCGGACCCAATCTGAACCAATTATAGACATCTATGTATGGGCCAAACGAAGGCCAGTCCAAAATTAAACATCCTTGGATGTTGAAATCATGTCCGGACTTCACAAAAAAATAAAAGACGGCCGTTCCGGACAGGACCAAAAAAAGATGTCCAAAAGACATCGCTATTGGTAAATGCTTAGTGGGCAACCATCACTCCAATCAAAGCTTATTTGGGTTGATGCCACCAATAGCACAATTGAGTTAGGTAACCATCACATTTACATCATTTAGCAGACGCTCTTATCCAGAGCGACTTACAGTTAGTGAATACATATTTTTTTATACTGGCCCCCCGTGGGAATCGAACCCACAACCCTGGCGTTGCAAACACCATGCTCTATCAACTGAGCTACATCCCTGCCGGCCATTCCATTCCCTCCCCTACCCTGGATGACGCTGGGCCAATTGTGCGCCGCCCATGAGTCTCCCGGTCGCGGCCGGCTGCGACAGAGCCTGGATTCGAACCAGGATCTCTAGTGGCACAGTTAGCACTGAGATGCAGTGCCTTAGACCACTGCGCCACTCAGGAGTTCACCTCTTTACTTTGATGGAGTAATCCTTGCAATCATCTTGTGTCTGACTGAGCATAACATTCTTCATAGTCAAATAATCTTGAGGCAATATGGCTATATTGCTATATGGCTATAATATAGCTATATTGAGAACCCAAGGGGGGCCCAAGGTGGCTAACAGCCGGTCCCCGTCTTGGGTTCTCAGCTGATGGTATAGAGGACAGCTGGCTACAATCCCGAAGCTCTGTTTTAATGTTTAGAAACGTTATTAATCCTCGCTAGCGATACTGTTTTGGAAACCTTTGGAACATAACTTTCACATAAGCGAGAAATAATCTTTAAAAGTTGCACCTGGCTGTTTCCACACACCACCTCGCTATGACACATTCTTTCACCCTGTGCACGCAATTCCATTGGATCATTCAATTCCATTGGATCATTCCATTCCACATTTCCGGCTGGATTGCATGTGTTTCTCAAAATAGAAAATCGGTGTCTAATTACAAAATGCCAGTGAGATTGTTGGACTATTGTTAATTAATGTTTGTTGTTTTGTTTGCAGAATGGGGCATTAACAGCCTTATTTGAATCTACCTGTGTGTTCACTGACGTCACGCAATGTATTTGACATCACACTTCCAAATGGGCTTTTTTCACCTAACCGGGGCCACTACAATTCAATAGTGTGCAACTGCAGCCTGCATGTGGGCATTCCTGCATCTGCAGAAACGCCCCCCTCGAGCATCGCATTGGTTCCTTCATGAACACCCCACCGAGCATCCCATTGGCGGGAGCAACACCGTGTGCTAGCTAACTAGCTAGCTTGGCTATCTAGCACACGGTGTCGCCCTCGCCTCCTGCCTGCTGTGTACCGGAGAAAACTGTGCCTGACAGGCGGAGGCGAAGGACACTGTCTACCGGTCATCCCCGCCTCCCGCTAGCACAGCAGACGGGAGGCTTGTGCGACACCGTGTACTAGCTATATTAATAGTTAGTGGCACTGTGTGCTAGCTAGCTAGCACATGGTGTCGCCCCCGCCTCCCTCCTGCTGTCCTCCTTAGGACTAGCTGGCTAAGCTAGCACACAGTCTCTTTCGCTACGGCCTGCCGAACACCTGCCCTCACCGTCATTAACAGAACTGCTGGAAAACAGTGCCCAACAGGCGGGGTGTACGGCTAGCTAGCTACCAGTGTCATCCCCGCCTCTTCTGTGCTGTGGGGTTTATCGGCGGTTGGCATCCAACGTTATTGTGCATTAACGCCACCTATACTGTACTGGTGCGCCCCCACCTCCCGCCTGTCCTAACTTAAAAATTGGCCAACAGAAGTATAAAGAGGGGTTCCTGCAAATGCAGGAATGCCCACATGCAGGAAGGCCCCGAATTGCGGGCAGCAATTGCAACCTTCTCTTACAATTGGCAAAATAATTTTGTTTGTTTCAGCGTGTTTACAATTCTGATAAGAACAGCAATTCTGAGTAGGCTATGAAGACAAAACAATATCGTGGTTGGTCGGGTGACTTCATCACTCTATGCAAGTTTTCTGCTAGAGTTATCTCGTGGGCGGGAACTTCTCTACCCTTGCACTGAAGTCTCCTCCTCCTCTGCAAGCTCTTTGCTTAATTCTTGTGGGGGTGATGCCCCGTTACTAACGCAATAAAGCTCTTGGATGCGATCCCCGGCACAATGCGTGGATCATTTTCATTCGACAGACCCACTACTACTTTCTCCTCCCTTCTCGCACTGTGTCATTACCAGCCAACTGCTGCCTGTCTGTAAGTAGACATTTTTTGACTATTTGTTTGATTTCTTTATTGTGCAGTACAGAGAACAGGGAGATATTGCTCTCATTCAATCGGATTGTTGCGGAATGAGTGAAGAGAAAGCACAAGCAATAGAGGAGAGTGGGAGATCTTGTATTTATTTATGGTAAGTTCTAAATGGAATTAGGACAATTATTTTTCGAGAAATAATACCTGGGTAGAACACAATGCAAACCAGTTATTTGCTGTGCTAATGCATATTGTTTTAACCCTCAAAGCAATTAAATACTGAATACAAGATGTGAGTTGTGAGTGAGATGATATCATATCATATCCTCAGTTTATGCATAACCTATTTATAAACCATGGAAACATTTGCCACACTTTTATCAGTGTAAATAAATGTACACTACCGGTCAAAAGTTTTAGAACACCTACTAATTTAAGGGTTTTTCTTTATTTTTACTATTTTCTATATTGTAGAATAACAGTGAAGACATCAAAACTATGAAATACACATATGGAATCATGTAGTAACTAATAAAGTGTTAAACAAATCAAAGTGTTAAGTGGCTTCAAATAGCCACCCTTTGCCTTGATGACAGCTTTGCACACTCTTGGCATTCTCTCAACCAGCTTCACCTGGAATGCTTTTCCAACAGTCTTGAAGGAGTTCCCACATATGCTGAGCACTTGTTGGCTGCTTTTCCTTCACTCTGTGGTCCGACTCATCCCAAACCATCTCAATTTGGTTGAGGTCGGGGGATTGTGGAGGCCAGGTCATCTGATGCAGCACTCCATCACTCTCCTTCTTGGTAAAATAGCCCTTTCACAGCCTGGAGGTGTGTTGGGTCATTGTCCTGTTGAAAAACAAATGATAGTCCCACTAAGCCCAAACCAGATGGGATGGCGTATCGCTGCGGAATGCTGTGGTAGCCATGCTGGTTAAGTGTGCCTTGAATTCTAAATAAATCACAGACAGTTTCACCAGCAAAGCACCCACACACCATAACTCCTCCTCCTCCATGCTTTATGATGGGAACTACACATGTGGAGATCATCCGTTTACCCACACCACGTCTCACAAAGACACGGCGGTTGGAACCAAAAATATCAAATTTGGACTCCAGACCAAAGGACAAATTTCCACCGGTCTAATGTCCATTGCTCGTGTTTCTTGGCCCAAGTCTCTTCTTATTATTGGTGTCCTTTAGTAGTGGTTTCTTTGCAGCAATTCGACCATGAAGGCCTGATTCACACAGTCTCCTCTGAACAGTTGATGTTGAGATGTGTATGTTACTTGAACTCTGTGAAGAATTTATTTGTGCTGCAATTTCTGAGGCTGGTAACTCTAATGAACTTATCCTCTGCAGCAGAGGTAACTTTGGGTCTTCCATTCCTGTGGCGGTCCTCATGAGAGCTAGTTTCATCATAGTGCTTGATGGTTTTTGCGACTGCACTTGAAGAAACTTTCAAAGTTCTTGAAATGTTCTGTATTGACTGACCTTCATGTTTTAATGTAATGATGGACTGTCGTTTCTCTTTGCTTATTTGAGCTGTTCTTGCCATAATATGGACTTGGTCTTTTACCAAATAGGGCTATCTTCTGTATACCCCCCTACCTTGTCACAACACAACTGATTGGCTCAAACGCATTAAGAAGGAAAGAAATTCCACAAATTAATTTTTAAGAAGGCACACCTGTTAATTGAAATGCATTCCAGGTGACTACCACATGAAGCTGGTTGAGAGAATGCCAAGAGTGTGCAAAGCTGACATCAAGGCAAAGGGTGGCTATTTGAAGAATCTCAAATATAAAATATAATTTTGATTTGTTTAACACTTTTTTGGTTACTACATGATTCCATATGAGTTATTTCATAGTTTTGATGTCTTCACTATTATTCTACAATGTAGAAAATAGTAAAAATTAAGAAACCCTTGATTGAGTAGGTGTTCTAAAACTTTTGACTGGTAGTGTATGTTATTTATGACATATTTAACTTGTTAGACTTAAATATGATATAGCTGTCAAACATTTTATCATCTGATATATAATATTAACTAAATAAGTAATAGAAGTCAAAATATGAGTTCTGGTCAAGCATTGGGTCACTGGGGTTAGGTTGTCTAGGTGTCAAGTATGTGACATATTGCAGCTTCCAAGAGAGTCACCTATTTTACTTGACAACCCCCGACCCCCCCCCCCCCCCCCCCCCTCTCTCTTTCTCGCTTTCTCTCTTTCTATTGAGTATCTTTATGTCCCTCCCTCTCTCTCTCTTTCACTCTCTCCACCTCTCTCTCCTTATTGAACCTAGTCCATTGTTAGAGTCCAAGTGTACCCACAATTTGAAAGTAGCCTACTATAAACTCATTGATTGCAAAATGGCATATTGCATCCCTCTGTGCTGCCTGACACAGTGTGCATTGCAAAGTCACTGGCTCAATGCCCTAGTGGAGTTAGAAATGTTGTGTCCAGGAGCAAGTTCCCTTCAAGTTCCCTTCCCTGGAAGGGTTAAGTAAATTTTCAGGCACACTGACAGATGGAAGATATCTAACTGGGGATAATAATTTCATTAATTCATTTATTATTACTTTGCCAGGAGCTGCCTGTCGGCGTGTAACCAACATCCCATCATGGTGGCGTTCAAAGGAATCTGGACCAAGGACTTCTGGAGGGCTGTGTCAGCCGAGTACCTAGCCACCATGATCTTCATCCTCCTCAGCCTGGGCTCCACCATCAATTGGGCGGCTGAGTCAGACAACCCTCCCCCTGCAGACCTGGTCCTCATCTCACTTTGCTTCGGCCTGGCCATCGCCACCATGGTGCAGTGCTTCGGTCACATCAGCGGCGGCCACATCAACCCGGCAGTCACCGCAGCCATGGTGGTGACCCGGAAGTTGAGCCTGGCCAAGGGTGTGTTCTACCTGGCTGCCCAGTGCCTTGGGGCGATCACTGGGGCAGGGCTCCTCTACCTGGTGACACCAGCGTCTGTCAGAGGGGGCCTGGGAGTGACTATGGTAAAACATATAGATCGGCCTGTTATCACAGAATCTGGATTATAGCCAAACAAGTATAGCAACAGTCAGAGTTCACACTATGGTTAAGATTTGAATATATTGTTGCTCATTTGGGACTATTCCATCAGGCAAGCTCAATCAAGCACAGCTAAAGTATTTAAAAATAATTTAAATACTATTTGAAACTAGGTCTGGGATGGATTGATGTCTTGAAAAGTATTGTTCATTCACAGAGGAAGACAAACTGACAGTTGCTATCTCTTACTCTTGTTTCCCAGGTGAACCCCAAGCTCAACGTGGGCTGCGGCCTGTTGGTGGAGCTCCTGATCACCTTTGAGCTGGTCTTCACAGTGTTCGCCACCTGCGACCCCAAACGCTCTGACCTTAACGGCTCGGCTGGCCTCGCCATCGGATTCGCTGTAGCCATCGGTCATCTGTTCGCAGTGAGTGTGATTCTATCTCTCACTTATTAGTACTAGAATTACAGCAAACCTGAAGGCCTCAACAGTCAGACATTACATTTAATTCAATACCATCTATGGAACAAAATGTATAGTGCATTGATGTAGATTGATGATGTAGTTTGTACTTTAATCATCATAATGGTAAAATAGTACAACAGGTATACCATAGAACATTAGTTCACAGTACAGTACAGTAGAGTATACAAATGTCTCTCAGACCTGCTCTCACATGCACATCCTCAATGGGTACCGCTGTACCACCTCCATGGCAACCAATCACTGGGGAACTACCTAAACCACACTGAGCAAGTTAATGCTCCTGAAAACAACATGCTGCCTACCTCTCTTCATAGCACAGCTTGATTTCAATGTGCTTTCTACATGCCACTAGATTATCCCTACTAAACTAGTACCTTGTATATCTATGGAATACCTCAATCTTAAACTACAATTCCCACAATTATATAGGTTTCATTTTATCCTGATCTACTTTATGGATTCAAGTGGAACAATACACTACTGTAGGTGTTGTGTCAGTTTGTGTCAGCTCTGGCTAGGTCTTGCTCCATGTCTCTCTCTCTACAGTCCCCTCATGTTAGCATCTCTATGCCCTGCTTTGTTCTAGATCCCATACACAGGAGCCAGTATGAACCCCGCTCGCTCCTTTGGGCCTGCAGTCGTCACCATGAACTTTGAGAACCACTGGGTAAGAAAGAAACTGCTGCAGCCTTTTCACCCTCAAAGGGTCATCGAAGATAGCACATTTGGTTCCTTGTAAATTGTGGAAACATACATTTTTGGTTTCCCATTGGTTCTGGGAACGAAGCCATACGTCTCCCAAAAGGTAAACCTGGAAGTAAAACGTTCTGTTGCCTGTTCTGGGAACGTACATTTTTATGTTGCAGGGAGGTTCTGAGAACGTTTTACTATGGTTCTCTGAATGTTTTCCTGGAAGGTTTTATTAACTGAGAATGGAAATTATAGGTTATTTGGAGGTTTTTGAATAACTTCCTTAAAACTTTCATTGAATGTTTCAATAAGACTGCTAGATTTGTTTGGGTTAACTATTTTGAACTCCAAGTACAGATAGAAATGTATTTGCCTAGGCATTAATCATGCAAACACATTTCTTTTTTTATTGGGGTACGGTATCAGTGAGATTCAAACCTATGATCTTCTGTTCTCTATCCATGGAATTAGTCACCAGGATGGAGCTAGCATGCCATGTTTCTTTAACTCATACAAAGTTGTTCATTTTAGTCTATTCAAACAGACCCCATTTCAAAGGAAACAAGCTCTCATTAAAGGGATAATCCACCCCAAACCACTAATTCCTATGATCGTTAAATAACACTAATAGGTGAAAACAATATTTTTTGTGAACAAATGTTTCATTTTGTCGGTATAACAAGGTTGTTAGCAGTGGTGGAAAAGGTACACAATTGTGATACTTGAGTAAAAGTATTGATACCTTAATAGAAAGTTACTCAAGTAAACGTTAAAGTCACCCAGTAAAATGCTACTTGAGTAAAAGTCTAAAAGTATTTGGTTCTAAATATACTTAAGTATCAAAAGTAAATGTAATTGCTAAAATATTCGTAAGTATCAAAAGTAAAAGTATAAATCACTTCAAATTCCTTATATTAAGCAAAGCAGACAGCACCATTTTATTGTTTTTAAAATTTACGGATCGCCAGCATTCAAAATGTAACGAGTACTTTAGGAATGTAGTGAAGTAAAAGTAAAAGTAGTCAAAAAAAATTAATAGTAAAGAAAAGTACAGTACAGATACCCCAAAAAACAACTTAAGTAGTACTTGAAAATATTTTTACTTAAGTACTTTACACCACTGGTTGGTAGCAACGTGAAAACCGTTGTGGAAATCTGTTGCAGCTCAAGTCGACTTCAAAACCCACAATGCAATGCTCTCTCTCTGGGCTGGCAAGCGTAGCTACATACAATAATACCAAAGTCAATATCAGCATGTGAAGTGGCTAGCTAGCTGTAAAATCACCTAAACAAACTGCACTATCAATTTAGGAGACTATCTCACTGAGTTCAACATCCAGTTCACCTCTGCCCAGAGCGAGTGCAGAGTATGTTGCTATGGCAACAATGGCCCTTTCCCACAGACACACAGGACGTATTGCGAGATGGTATTTGAAGGATAAACTATATGTTTTTAAATTACATTCTTAGAATGTTCTTTGAACGTTACAAAAGTTTTCTTGTGGTTTTTATGGAACGTTTTTTTTTTTATGTTCTGAGAACATTACTTTAAATAGAACCATGAGGAAACCTGAAAAAAACGTTATGCTGAATGACTGAAACTCCCACAGAATAAAGTTTTTTCTTAATGTTCTCTGAACAATTTGAGAACATTACTTTAAATAGAACCATAAGGAAACTTGTAGGAAACGTTATGCTGAAGTACTGAAATTCACACAGAAGAACGTTTCTGTCACAGTGGCTGATGTGGATGTGGTGGAGGAGTCACACGCAGGACACAGAAGCTAAGTCCAACCGACTTTACTGAACACAATAAATTAGACTCTGGCCTCAACAAAATAGGAGGCGGGCTATGCGCAACAATGCGCAAAACACAAGTAATCCAAAGTGCACGAAAACAGTACAGTGCGACGACAGGAAATACAAAATACAAAAGACGAGCCGCACCTGATGACAGGCGAACAATAACACACAATACACGACTAACAAAACGAGAAACTTATAGGGGACATAATCAACCCAAATGGAAAACAGGTGTACAATAAAGACAAAACCAAACGAACATCGATAACATACAACGGTGGCAGCTAGTACTCCGGGGACGACGACCGCCGAAGCCTGCCCGAGCAAGGAGGAGGAGCAGCCTCGGCCGAAACCGTGACAGTTTCTTAATATTCTCTGAACGATTTGAGAACATTCCCAATGTCAAACCAGTTGGAGAACATTCCTAGAACATTACCCAAAATGTTATTAAATGTAACCATGTTTGAACTTTTAGAAAACGTTCTCTTAAAGTAATGAAATACCAAGAAAATAAAGTTGCTTAAATGTGCTGAGAATGTTCCATTCCCAGAACATTGTGGGAAGGTTGTATGTACCCCGTGTCGTCAAGGCATAGGAGACTCTGTGCACATACTTTTCTGACTGCTCACACTGCTATAAAATTGCTGCAGACACACCAAAAAAAAAGGAATATGAAAAATGTTTTTTGTCCGAGACGCACTTTGAAGATGATGTTGTCCATATTTACTTTTCCTCAGCCAACAATCAGACAAGCCCATAGTAGAATAGTTTACGTTTTCAATTGGCTTGTCGCATTCTATGTAAGAAAATAATATTCCTCTCAAAGTGCTTTTAAATCGTGTGTGCCACAGTGAGAAAAACATGCATTGATATGCATATGCCCAGCCATTGCACAGTAGTGGGAAATACACACATTTGAAAGGGGTTGATGGCCACTGTTAGAAGAGGAGGATCCCAGCTTTCCATTATTACTACATTTATTATTTCTCAACTCCTAAAAATGAGTGAACTGCACCATTTTCAAACAGGAGAATCAGCAGAATGGTTTAGACGTATTTAGCTCTTGCGTTTCAAGTTGACCGGGGTCAAATGTAACATGGGTTAAGTGTAACAGGTAGGCCTGCATTATATTTTTGGGACATTCAAGTCATCAATATGATGCTAACTAGCAACAAGATAATGTTTAGAGTTTGTGATCTAGCTAATGATTAGCCCAATGGGGTAAATGCAGATGGCATCCCCATTCTTTAGCCTATTTATTAGTCACTGTGCCAGCCAGGTGATAGCCTAATGCTTTTTGCTAAATAGCATACCTGCCAGGCATGGACCAATATGTTATTGGGCTCTTTTCTGGATGGGCAAATCATATTTTAGATCGTGTCAGCATAATTTCATTTCATTTATATTGGAGTAGAATGTCCTTTTAAAAAGTCACCAGAACTGACCTTCTCACAGTCGTTCTACAAAGAAAAATGTAGGTCCCTCTGCGACCTTTGCCACATTTACATTTTAGTCATTTAGCAGACGCTCTTATCCAGAGCGACTTACAGTTAGTGAATACATTTTTTTTTTTTTTATACTGGCCCCCCGTGGGAATCAAACCCACAACCCTGGCGTTGCAAACGCCATGCTCTATCAACTGAGCTACATCCCTGCCAGCCATTCCCTCCCCTACCCTGGACGACGCTGGGCCAATTGTGCGCCGCCAATGAGTCTCCCGGTCGCGGCCGGCTGCGACAGAGCCTGGATTCGAACCAGGATCTCTAGTGGCACAGTTAGCACTGCGATGCAGTGCCTTAGACCACTGCGCCACTCAGGAGTAAAACCACTGCTAAAAAATAATCTGGAAACACTGACCATCCATTGATGTTTTAGTTGTTAATGCCTGGACACTTCAAATGAAGAGAGAGCTTCAGGCCTAAAGTGGAGTGACTTTTTATGTTTTAATATAAAAAGTCACTCCACTGAAATGCCATCACAGAAATCACAAGCTATTTGGTTGTGAAGACATGGGGTAAACAGATGCCAAATATTACAGCAGTGTATTAATAAAGAGCCTGTAGTATACTGTCATATGTGCTTTTTGTGTATATTGTTTAGGTTAGTGCATCATTGTGTGATAAGTGTTCAGGTCGTCTCTGTCCTCCAGTAGCTAATGTTGTCAATATCATTATTAGTGGGGGGCAACGGTGGGCGGGATGGGGGGCATATTGAAACTTAATAAGGTCACAGTGCATATCACCATGCCAGAGCAGCTAAGAAGGATCCCATCTAGTGTCGATCAAGGACATATTTACCCCCATAGAGGGCATGAGTGCTACAGACTGACATCAGTAACCATAGAAACACTGAGCGTTAAAATAAACATTGAAATGGTCAGGAAATGCGTCATCAATAGATCACTTGACCCTTGCTACTAGGTATAGATTCATTCATTTCAGCTTCCTATTTCAGAATAAAATGAAAAACCACATCAGTAGTATAGACAACTAAAGACAGCTGTTCTGGACATTACCCACAGCATGTGTTTCTTTAATTATGTATCCAGGGCAATTATTGTCACGGAGGTGTTTATAGTAGCTGTCTGTACTGAGTCAGCATGGCACAGCATGGTGTGTGTGTGTGTGTGTGTCTGTTTATCTGGGTCTTCGGTATAATTAGGAAAGGTCCTCAGTACTGAGAGTGGTGTCATATTATCTGACAGGTGTTTTCTCTCTCTACGTGACAAATGTTTGACTTGGCAGAACCTAAAGGTACCTGGCTCCACTGAGGATGCCCATAAACGATGATTGCTGCCCCTTTACAGACATGACAAAACATGACATCTGGTCTAATAATGCATGACAGCTCTGTCAGAAGGAAGTATCCTCTAGCTCAACCTGTGGTTCTAGGTTCATGTTTGTCTGAACTGGGTTTTACCTTACCTGTCTTGCAGGTGTACTGGGTTGGTCCAATCCTTGGTGGCATCATGGCGGCTGCCCTCTATGAATACCTGTTCTGCCCTGACCCTGAGCTGAAGAAGATGCACCGGGAAGTCTTCCAGAAGGATCCGGCTTCGGGGAAGTACAGGGAGGTGATGGGCAGTATGTACCAGGGGGAACCAGACGACCTGATCATCAAGCCAGGCTCTATCCACCACATCGACCTGGAGAAGGGGGAGAAGAAGGACCCTTTCCTGGACTCGACGGGCGAGGTGCTGTCCTCTGTATGACTACCACGGGCACTGGAGAGGGAGACCTACCTGTAGAGGAGGGGGAGATCCAGAGAGAGACACTTTGAGTCTGGGTCCTCCACCCCTGTACCCATACCATAAGCCCCATACTCCCAAGCCCCATGTCCCCATACCTAAACCCACACAGACTTACTTCTCAGGCAGAATACAATTGCTGCATTTCCTCTCAATGCAGGTGTATTATTGTATATGGAGGTGAGCCTCCCTCAACATTTGTGAAGTAAGTGGATAATATAACTTTGCACACTGCTCACCCTAACCAATTACCTTTCATGTGAAATCTTTTGATTTCTGCAATCTTGTCCAATCATCATCTGTCCCAGCTCTGTTTGCTTGTGGCATGCTGCTACACTGCAGAGTGATAACAATAGACTACATTTCTGTCAGGGAAAAATGTCCAGGTCAACCAATTACATGGGGTCATCACACTGAATTTGTAAACCAGAGAGGAAACATCAAGCTTATTATTTTGGGATTAGTGTCACATATTGAATATGTATATGGCATAAGAGATCTTATCTACATATGGTCGTTAAGCACATTATAGAACTCATGTTATGAAGGAAAAGACTCATGGGCGGCGCACAATTGGCCAAGCGTCGTCCAGGGTAGGGGAGGGAATGGCCGGCAGGGATGTAGCTCAGTTGATAGAGCATGGCGTTTGCAACGCCAGGGTTGTGGGTTCAATTCCCACGGGGGGCCAGTATAAAAAAATATGTATTCACTAACTGTAAGTCGCTCTGGATAAGAGCGTCTGCTAAATGACTAAAATGTAAAAATGTAATGTAAATGAAAAGTTATACCGAACATTTACAATCTTCAGCCCACTTCTATATTGTTGGTATATATTCTCCATTTTCAGTGCACATTGGTCAGGGAAAAAACTATTCAACTTTACCTATTTATTTATTTGTAGAAACATATTTGTCTTAAAACAGATTTTAATTGCCTAGCAACAGATCATAGACAAACCGTCAGATATCAGTTATAGATATAGATTTTCATAACTATAAGCAGAAAAATAATCAGCTATTTTGATACATTTGGAATGATCACATTATTATCATTGACTGTATTTTCATACTGAAAGTATTCTTATACCTACTTATTTATGAAGTGGTCTGCCTGCTTTACATAGCTTGGTCTTGAAAACCAAGGACCCATGAGGGAAATGTTTGCCTCCATACCCACCACTCTGGATTGTAGTATTGCATAGATAGATTTGAATGTTAGAATTGAATACTTGACAACTGCACCTTACTGCAGTTTCTGTGTTGATTTTGAATTTCATAAAATAAATTGTGATTTCCACGTCTTTAGTGTGAACTATTGTGCTATTATGCTGTAAGTACATGCAAGCCTTGGTTTGGCTTCTGTTGGTACCTCTCAAAACACAATACCATAATACTGTACGATATACCAAGTAGATTCAAAAATGTATTTCTGTCTCTGACATAAAGCACTTCTCACAAATGTTACAGTTTAAAGCCAGAGACTGGGTGGAGAATTGCTCCTGAAGAGTTGTATCAGCTCACCGTAGAAGGCAGTAGCAATTTACAGTAGCAGCACGACAGAAGCCCATCTCAGCCATGTAGCTCAGTTGGTAGAGCATGGCGTTTGCAACGCCAGGGTTGTGGGTTCGATTCCCATGGGGGGCCAGTATGAAAATAAAATAAAAAATGCATGCATTCTGGATAAGAGCGTCTGCTAAAATGACTACAAAAATTTTTTTATAGCCTCCTCTCCCTCTAGATAGTGTCACCTCATAGCCAGACAGATGGGGATGATATGTGTTCTCTTTGAGTTAAGTCTGAGACTATACTCATAATCTCATTCCATCAGTGAAACGCTGGGCCACTTTGCCATAGAATAGAGGTGATCTGTCACCATCTCACTTTATTTCCTTTGGAAAAAGAACTGACAATTTCATGTGGAGAGAAGCCAAGTGAACTGCATATAACGCTAGCTAGGTGATGAAAAACTGGTTGACTTAGGTTGACTGATTGTGCCACTGTTAATACAGTTTGTTGTTTTTTCGCTTTGGTTCTATTTTCACACGTATGTGGTACATTTTCACAACTCAGTACAACACTCCAAACTGGTCACACTTGTAACACAGCCAGTCTTTCATTCAAAACCTGTCATTGTGCATTCATTTGGATAGTAAACATCTCTCATCACACAACCATTGATTCAAAATAATAGTTTATTGTGAAATGTATTGATTGTTTTGGTTTAATCACCAAAACACAACATAATTGATATCTTTTCAATTTACTCGTTTTAACATTGCAAGATACGTGTTTCAAATCACCCTTAAAACAGCTGAAAGTAATATGCTACAGTACTGTAAATTACAGTAATACAGTATATAGTGCTGTACCTGAACATGCTCTGCCCGCAGTTGTTTCACCCGGTCGTTGTTACTCTCAAAAGGCACCAGGTAAAAGTGTTTCATAGATACAGTTGAAGTCGGAAGTTTATATACACTTAGGTTGAAGTCATTAAAACTTGTTTTTCAACCACACCACACATTTCTTGTTAACAAACTATAGTTTTGGTGCATGACACAAGTAATTTTTCCAACAATTGTTTACAGACAGATTATTTCACTTATTTTAATTTTTTATTTTACCTTCATTTAACTAGGCAAGTCAGTTAAGAACAAATTCTTATTTACAATGACGGCCTACACTGGCCAAACCCGGACGACGCTGGGCCAATTGTGCGCCGCCCTATGGGACTCCCAATCACGGCCGGTTGTGATACAGCCTGGAATCGAACCAGGGGGTCTGTAGTGACGCCTCAAGCACTGAGATGCAGTGCCTTAGACCGCTGCGCCACTCGGGATAATTCACTGTATCACAATTCCAGTGGGTCAGAAGTTTACATACACTAAGTTGACTGTGCCTTTAAACAGCTTGGAAAATTCCAGAATATTATGTCATTTTTACCTTTTTTTTTGTCATTTAGCAGAAGCACTTATCCAGAACGACTTACAGTTAGTGAGTGCATAATTATTTTTTTTCATACTGGCCCCCCGTGGGAATAGAACCCACAACCCTGGCGTTGCAAGCGCCATGCTCTACCAACTGAGCTACACGGGGCCTAGTAGCTGTCATGGCTTTAGAAGCTTCTGATAGGCTAATTGACATAATTTGAGTAAATGTGAGATGTACCTGTGGATGTATTTCAAGGCCTACCTTCAAACTCAGTGCCTCTTTGCTTGACATCATGGGAAAATCAAAAGAAATCAGCCAAGACCTCAGAAAATAAATTGTAGACCTCCACAAGTCTGGTTCATCTTTGGGAGTAATTTCCAAACGCCTGAAGGTACCACGTTCATCTGTACAAACAATAGTACGCAAGTATAAACACCATGGGACCACGCAGTCATCATACCGCTCAAGAAGGAGACGCGTTCTGTCTCCTAGAGATGAATGTACTTTGGTGTGAAAAGTGCAAATCAATCCCAGAACAACAGCAAAGGACCTTGTGAAGATGCTGGAGGAAACAGGTACAAAAGTATCTATATCCACAGTAAAACAAGTCCTATATCGACATAACCTGAAAGGCCGCTCAGCAAGGAAGAAGCCACTGCTCCAAAACCGCCATAAAAAAGCCAGACTACGGTTTGCAACTGCACATGGGGACAAAGATCGTACTTTTTGGAGAAATGTCCTCTGGTCTGATGAAACAAAAATAGAACTGTTTGGCCATAATGACCATCGTTATGTTTGGAGGAAAAGGGGGGTGCTTGCAAGCCGAAGAACACCATCCCATCCGTGAAGCACGGGGTGGCAGCATCATGTTGTGGGGGTGCTTTGCTGCAGGAGGGACTGGTGCACTTCACAAAATAGATGGCATCATGAGGAAGGAAAATTATGTGGATATATTGAGGCAACATCTCAAGACATCAGTCAGGAAGTTAAAGCTTGGTCGCAAATGGGTCTTCCAAATGGACAATGACCCCAAGCATACTTCCAAAGTTGTGGCAAAATGGCTTAAGGACAACAAAGTCAAGGTATTGGAGTGGCCATCACAAAGCACTGACCTCAATCCTATAGAAAAGTTGTGGGCAGAACTGAAAAAGCGTGTGCGAGCAAGGAGGCCTACAAACCTGACTCATTTACACCAGCTCTGTCAGGAGGAATGGGCCAAAATTCACCCAACTTATTGTGGGAAGCTTGTGGAAGGCTACCCAAAATGTTTGACCCAAGTTAAACAATTTAAAGGCAATGCTACCAAATACTAATTGAGTGTATGTAAACTTCTGACCCACTGGGAATGTGATGAAAGAAATAAAAGCTGAAATAAATCATTCTCTCTACTATTATTCTGACATTTCACATTCTTAAAATAAAGTGGTGATCCTAATTGACCTAACACAGGGAATTATTACTAGGATTAAATGTCAGGAATTGTCAAAAACTGAGTTTAAATGTATTTGGCTAAGGTGTATGTAAACTTCCGACTTCAACTGTACCTGATGCCTCTTCAAAAGGCGGGCGATTGTTGGTAGGCTGATGGATGCCACATTGACAAAGGTGTCATCGTTTTCCTCCATGGCCTGCTTTATTTCAGACAGCAGTATGTCATTCCTGGCCCTCACCATTTCCACCACTGGTCGGTCAACACACAGCCACGGCCACCACCATGGGGTCTTCTGTCAATTATGAGGGTAGAACAGAGTATACTGTCAATAGATCATACTGTAAGACTACTAACATGTTTTGTGAATTTACATGCATTACTACATGGAATTTACTGTAAATGTAATGGTAAAGCATAGTGCATATCCTGCAGACTTACCGGTTTTCTTGGCGAAATGTTCTCATGATCGAATTGACAGTTGATCTTTTCAGATTGGGGTGAACTAATCTGCCAGCCTCTGCCGTGGTAAGGCCTCTGTTTACCACATGGTCAACGATGATGGCCCGGGCTTCATTAGACACAACAGTTCCCTGCCATCTGCCTCCCTCTCTCTGATGTCCACCTCTTTGACGGGGACCATGCCCACCTAGTTTGACCTCTTTGATGGGCCCCTTGTCCACAAACTCTTTGATTTCTTCCTCTCTCTTGCTGTCTATCCTGCTCCATGTTCACACACCCTTTTATATGGTGACCAATTGTGGTTACTACTATGGGAAATCAAATAGCAATAACGAGTAGTCATTATGTATGGTTATCATGTATCATACATGTCATTCAGATGTTTATACTTTACAAACACACATTTTATTTCTGTAGTTCTCCAAATCCATACATAGCAGACAAACCAGTTTAAAATCTATAGGTTTACCAAACAGTTAACTGATTAACCATTAAGCACAGTTGGATTAAGTGATGGTCAAATATATTTAAACAAATGAGAAGATAACCAGTATTGTGAGCATTGCATTGTGAAAGGCAATTACTTTATATGAAAGGTATTTCTATATGAAACACTGATTAGGTTTGGTGAAGCATTTACTGTGTGATTTTGTGTGTTGTCCTTAGTCAATTGAAAATGTGCTTAAAGTTGAGAAAAAACAGCCTTTTTGATGATCTGTTTTGAGTTTTGTATTAAGAGTTGTGACATTTTACCAC